TCTTCAGTTTTCATGGTTCACAGGTGATCTGTAGCAGGAGCAATGATCATGGAATTGTAGTAGCAGAAAAGTCATTTTAAGGCAGATAAGCACCTATACTGTGGTAATGAATAGAATAAAAAGAAATCTTTTGGGGGAGGAAGCATGATTTTTGTGTTTTCATTTTTGCCAGAGTCTTCCTGTGTATCTTAGACAGGACACTTAGCTTTTTGGAGTCTATGTTTTTTAGCCTGTGAAATAGGAACAAGTTTTTGTAATGGGAACATTATTTCATAGATTTAGAACTTAATTCCTTATTGGTTCTGTCTAAGAGTCATGTGCTTTATTTATCAAGGCTTTGGCTTGCAATCTGCATGTGGGGCACACTCAGCCTACAGCTTTGATTTAGCAAGCTGTGCTGAAATTAAATCTTGTATGGTTGATATGAGTAATGCCATTTACCCACAGAGAAGTTCTTAGCGTGCGTATCACAGAGAATGTGGACCTTTCCAACCTGTGTAACCTCCTTTAATAAAGATACAGTTGCTGCAGTTGACCTCTTGTGAAAAGTAGATCTATTTGTTTTTTTATTCTGTGGCCTGAATAGAAGATATAACAGAATGGGCACTGTTCACTGGACGTGGGAATTCTCCCCTGCTCTGACTCATGTCGAGCAGCAGGGAGGGGAAAGAAAATGGGCTCCAGAAACCCAGTATCCAGTTTTGTAATTTAAAAAACTTTTTTGATCTGAACTTTGTACAGTTAATATTCCAGAGACTATTTAGAAGTTTGATAAAAGTCCATAGTAGTGCTAGAGAAAGATAAGGCTCACTATTGTACTAAAACAATGTTGTAGTGCCAAGACAGTGTATTTATGCTTTTTTTGTTGCAAGACTAACAGTGCCCATCAAACTTAGTATAATTTGATATTATACTAAGTAAAGAAAAAAACACCAAATGATTCTCTAGGTTACCATAACAAACACTTTAAGCTTAATATGCAGCTACATTGCAAACAAGTCCATTAGCATGATATATTGCTTCACAGCAGCCGAGAGTAGTAAGTGTGGTGAAATTACCAGTGTGGTGGAGGCCATGGGTTTTTTGTGCAGAACAGAAAAGATGCTTTTTTTTTCCCCAATACGATCAATCACTATTTTGCCAGTATGTTTTCTAATGTGTCTTGCAGAGTTTCATGGTAATTTTTAAAGTTGGATGAAAACTTCTGTTTCACCATTGTGGTCAGTCAATTTTTAGCATCCATAAAAGAAGCATCGTTGCCAAGTTTTCCTTCAAGCCTGTGAAGTCAGAGTCGCAAGGAGTAGGACAAGCCTCAATAAGCTTTGGGAGCTAATGGGGAATTGCAAACTCTTTGTTTATTGCACCCGGCACTTTCTCAAAATCTGCTTCATGGGGCCAAACCACTCATTTCCTCAAGCAGATAAGGAGGATGCTTTCCCCAAGTCAAAGCTCTCTGAGTTTGTAAATAAGGCAGTGTAAATATATATTTTAAAAGTGTGCTTTCTAGAGGGATTGCAGGTAGCACTTTGCAACTTTTATCTCGGAGGACCTGAACTTCAGGACTAGTTAAATTGGTTAAACTAAAAAGAAGTATGGACTTTAAAACCACCTGTTATCACAACAGCAATACATGGATTGTGCCTGAATTGTCTGAAATGGGATTTTTAAGCACACTAAACGGGTATTAAATTGAAAATAAATGCTTTTTTCCCCCCTTTTCAACAGCAGTCTGGTGGCTTTGAGACCCATGACACAAACATTGGGGAACCTACCATTGTTGGAGCTTTGTGAGAGAGGAAATGTAAGGAAAAGTGCCTCCTCCCCACGCCCAAGTTGTTTCAAGGCAATGAGTCAGGACGTTTCTATGCAAGTTTCTCAATAAGCAATTTTTTTATTTCTACTGCTGATGTGATCACTTCATGGATCTTTGATACACGTAGCCACAAGTGTTGGTCTGTCGAATAAAGCCCAAGAGCTAACCAGACCTTCATTTTCTTGAGTGTCATCTTCTAATTCTACATTCTTAGGGACTGATCCAGTAGATGCAAATGTGGAAGTAATTCTGTATAATCTCCTGTGTTAAGGCAGTCTTTCCCAGATTTGGACAATGCAAAGCAACTGTGTTAATCTTCCATCAAGCAGATGGAAGCAGTTCTCTAGAGTAGAATCCACCGATTGTTTGCTGAAATTTAGACTCTCTATTTTTCAGGAAATTCTGGTGTTTTGAATTCATGTTTCCACCATGCATTGAAATAATATTTTTAATACAGTCAGGCTTGCAATTATTTTCATATTTGTTGTATTTTATATGGTAATTTAATACAAAAGTCAAAACACTTTGATGTATTAGACTGAAACTAAAAACAAAGCAATGAAGTTGAAATGAAGGGTTCTAACTTTGCCCAAATTAAATAGTGGATTTAATGAAAATGCAATGTTTTAACTAATTCCCTTTAAAAAAAAAAAAAAGTGTTAAGAAAATGTTCATTCCACAAACACATTGAAATTCTAATTGTTGTTTTTCTCTGTTGTCTGGGAAAATGTTTACTTTCTTGGCAATTTTGAATTTGGCTTTCTCTGTG